AAATCTGCTTTCATGAGCCTTTCACATGGTGTGTTCCAGATCATTTAAAACAAAATTCTACTCATCTTCCCTCTGTTTCTCTTGCCAATTACCCTAATTAATAATAATTATAATACTCCTTGCATTTGATATAGCTCCATCTCTGGTCTCTGAGACGTTTAAGAACATAAGAACATAAGAATTAGCAGCAGGAGTAGGCCATTCGCCCCTCGAGCCTGCCCCTCATGGCTGATCTTCAGACCTAACTCTAATTACGCACCCTATCCCCATATGTTTTTTAAAAATCTATCAGTCTCGGCCTTGAATATGTTCAAAGACTGAACATTCACAGCCTTCTGGGGTAGTGAATTCCATAAATTCACTGCCCTCTGAGTGAAGAAATGTTTCCTTAACTTTGTTCTGAAAGTCTGACCCTTATTTTCAGACTAAGATCCCTGGTTATAGATTCTCCTACCGGGGAAACAGACCCTCAGTGTCTACTTCATCAGCCCTTTAAGAATCTTATATGTTTCAATAAGATCTACCCTAATTCTTCTGTATCAATGCACTTCATTGAAGAAACATCAAAGTGAATTTTCTGGGTGAACCACGGCAGCTAATTGCGCACAAGAGTGTCCCACAACCAGTCGTGGATTGATTGACCAAATTATTATTATTTTAGTTATTGGGATGGATTGTTATTACCTCTGGGAATCGGATCCACCAATTGGCACACGAGCGTGTTCCTACTAACTGCTCCGTAAACAGAAGTGAGTTTGAGAAGTAAGAAAACTTGCCTCAGGTTTCGCCCAGACCAGGAGTCGAACCCAAGGCCTCTCGATTGCAAGGCTAGCTCCCTTACCAATCAGATACAGTACTCCACAACCTGTACTATAAAATATATTAATAATGTTGCACTCAGTATAGAGCGTTATCATCTCATTCCTTCTGTAAAGCTAATCGACCATATATTTTGTGGGCGAAAAGGGGCAGCCAGTTGCGCAGAGCAGAGTTTCAGAAACGGTCGTGGATTGATTGACCACAGTGTTATTGATTATTTCTTTTTTGGAAGGGATTATTACCCCCAGAAAAGCCAACCACTTATCGACTCGCAAGCGGGGTTCCTATTGCTGCTCGGTGAACAGAGGCGTGAGTGAATGTGTGTGTTCTTGCAGTGAGGAAACTTGCTTAAGGTTTCGCTCTGACCGGTCTGGGAATCGAACTCAGATCCACTCGCTTGCGAGGTAAATGCTCTGAATACGGAGCTACAAGACTCCACAATAGAAATGTTTCAAATTAAAGTTAAAATCTCATCTTCGTTTGGAGAACCTTTAGACTGGGTGGCTTTCTGCATGTCTCAGACATCCAGCTGAGACCAAAAAATAAGTAAAATGTGAGATGGCACGGAGAGACTTTTGTCAGAAGGCCAAGTTTTGTTACATTGCACAATTTCCTCGTAAACATTTGTCTACCTGTTATAAGGTTTTTACATCGATGCATTGTGTATAACATCCTGCAAACAAGATGTGTTGCTGTTTCCCTTGAATCTTGGACAACAAACCCACAAATAAAATCAGTCGCTTTTTTTACAGTTTCACAGAATCAGAGAATCTTGCAATACAGGAGGCTTTTCGGACGCATCGTGTCTTTTAAGCTCTTAGTCAGAAATATCAAATCGTCCTTACTCCCCGCTTTTACCCCAAACTGTCACACTGCTCCGCTCTTACCTACAACTTGTCCCCAGTCATTCATTCTTGCCCCAAATAATTCCCCTGCACTTTGCCCAAATTGTCATACTCGCCCAACTCTTTCCTACAACAATTTCCCACTCCGGCTACCGCTACACAAAATTGTCCCAATCTCCAATTCTTGTCGACTAGCCCCACTGTCCCGCTTTTAACCCAACTTGTCCCACTTCCTCGCTCTTACCCCAACGAGACCCACTCCCCCACTCCTATGCGAACAAGCAAATGTCAGACACCCGGCTGACCCCCCACAAAAAAATGGTATCACGCAGAGGGAGAGGACTTTGCCAGAATGCCAGCTAATTTTCTTCTGATGAATTTTCTCGGAAACATTCAATGCCTGGTACACCCTGATTATATCGACACATTGTGCAAAACAAGCTTCAATCAAGCTGTGTTGCTGTCAGTCCAAATAAGCCTTGCCATGTCCTCTGGCTCCAAACAGAATATTACATGACTCCACAATCTGTATTACATAGTATTATAACAATTCTTGCATTCGAATACAGCGCCATGTCACGTATTGGAGACGTTTTAAAGCGCTTCGCAGATTATACTGCAAAGTGAAGTGACTATATATGTTGTGGTGGAAACACGGCAGCCAATTACACATATCGGTATCCCACAAATATTCGTGGATTGAGTGATCACATTCATGTTAATAATTTTTTTTGGAGGGATTATCATTCTGGAAATGCCGTACATGAATCGACTCACAACTTGATTCCAACTTCCTACTAGGTAAATAGCGGCAAGCTCTTAGACTAAGGAAACCTGCCTAAGGTTTTGATCTGGCCGGGAATCGAACCCAGGTAATCTCGATTGTGAGTTGAGTGCACTTACCCCTGAGCTACAGGAATAAGCTGGATAAAATAAATAGGCTGTTTGCACGAGTTGTGGGATCTGTAACTGGGAAACATAGATATAAGTTTGCGACTGGGGCAATGTAACAGAGAAATAAGAATAAGACCACAAGACATAGGAGCAATATTAGGGCACTCGGCTCCTCGATCCTGCCCCGGCATTTAATAATATCATGGCTGCTCTTATAACGTAATTCCATTTACCCACCCTATCCCCATATTCCATAATCCATCTACCCTTCAGAAATCTGCTTCATATAGGGGAGTGAGGTTGTGGATTTTTTTCACTAAAAGGCTAGTGGATATATAGAATCTCGCTCTACGCTCTGTGGATTATGGCTGGATTGATTCACATTGCCCAGACGGAGCTGGATAAATGTTCCTAAGTTCAGAGTACCAAGGGATATCGGGCAAGGACGGGCAATTGGAGTGAGGTACAAATCAGCCACGATCTTAATGGTGTTTTATAGCTGAGTAGTCAAAGCATTCCTCTCGCAAGCGAGAGACCTGGTTTGATTTCCGGACAAGGCAAAATGTTGGATAAGTTTCCTTACGCCATGAGCCTCTCTTTACCAGCAGTAATTAGGAACCCGGTTGCTAGTCGATTGGCCGATCGCTTTTCTGGGGGTAATAATCCCTTCCAAAAAAAGTAATTTTTAAAAAAACTTGGTCACTTAAATCCACAGCTGTTTGTGGCTCTGCGCAATTGGTTGTCATGTTTGGCCCACAAAACACACAGTCACTACGCTTGACTGTGCGGCCGGTGAATCGCTTTGTAATGTCCCAAAGACTTGATAAGGCGCTGTTGGAATGCTAGGATTATTATTGCACACGAGGGAGAGGGGAATAGAAGGATAATGGTAAAAATAATGAACGGGTTAAGGGCTTACATGGGTTGGCTGTTTCCATGGTGTACATTCTTAGTAAAGTTTTGGCAGTTGGAGGTGTGTGTGTGCGTGTGGGTGTCCCCCTAACCCCTACCTACCTGCCTGTACCCTCCGTTCCTCCGGCTCCGGTCTGCTCCACATCCCCCGCCCCAAACGCCCTACCATCGGTGGTCGGGCCTTCAGCCTCTCAGCCCTGAGGCTCTGGAACTCTATCCCCAGTGCCTTCGCCGCTTCCTCCCTTTCCTCCTTCAAGGCCGGTCTCAAGATCTTTCTCTTTGACCGAACCTTCAGCTCCACTCTCGACTCTCTACTCCCTCCTCGCTCCCTCCCTTCCCTCCCCTCACCCTGACCATTTACCCCCCAATGCTCGGGACCTGACCCAAATATCCAGCGCCTTGGGACGTCCTCCCGACGTGAAAGGCACTCTATAAATGGAATCTTGTTGTTGTGAGTGTGTGTGCGTGTGCGTTTGTGTGCGCGTTTATGTTGGATGGAACTCACATTTCAATACAGTAAACCAATAAATAATGAATGTTAAAACTAAGGCTATATTCTCTAGAGTACAGAGAATTAGGGGGGATCTCATTGAAACTGATAAGATTCTTAAAGGGCTGATAAAGTAGACACTGAGGGTCTGTTTCCCCTGGTAGGAGAATCGATAACCAGGGGTCACAGTCTGAAAATTAAGGGTCAGCCTTTTAGAACAGAGTTGAGGAAACATTTCTTCACTCAGAGGGCAGTGAACTTATGGAACTCACTCCCCCAGAAGGCTGTAGATGTCAGTCCTTGAACATCTTCAAGGCTGAGACTGACAGACATTTAAACAACAGAGGCATTAGGGGATATGGGGATAGGGCGGGTAATTAGAGTTAGGTCTGAAGAAATAGTGAACGGGTTAAGGCTTGCGTGGGTTGGGTGTTTCAAAGCTGTACATTCTTAGTACATTTTTGGCCATTGGATGTGTGTGTGTGTGTTTGTGTGTGTTTGTGTGTGTGTGTTTGCGTGTGTGTGTGTGTTTGTGTGTGTGTGTTTGCGTGTGTGTGTGTTTGTGTGTCTGTGTGTTTGTGTGTGTGTTTGCGCGTGTGTGTGTGTTTGTGTGTGTGTTTGTGTTTGTGTGTTTGTGTGTGTTTGTGTGTGTGTGTTTGCGTGTGTGTTTGTGTGTGTGTGTGTTTGTGTGTGTGTGTGTGTTTGCGTGTGTGTGTTTGTGTGTGTGTGTTTGCGTGTGTGTGTGTTTGTGTGTGTGTGTTTGCGTGTGTTTGTGTGTGTGTGTTTGTGTGTGCGCGTGTGTTTGTGTGTGCGCGTGTGTGTTGGATGAAACTCACATATCAACACAGTAAACCAATAAATAATGAACGTTGAGCGGTGCCAAACGCGATGCTAATGAGACCTGTTTCAGCAGATAAGATGGTCCGATTGCCTTCCTGGTAAACCCAAACAACCACCTGATCACAAATTGGCTCTATTTCAGCAATTGCACACTACGTCCTTGCTACATCCTATATAAATCCGGGTAGAGAGCAGCAATCACCAGACACTCGCTGACACTTCCATCCAGCCGACTAGTTGTCAGACTCCGCTCGAGACGAACAGAGAAGATGAGTATCACCCTCTACAATGAGACCTCTCTGGGAGGTGGAGGTCAAACCTACACCGAAGATGTCCCAGACATGAAGGACTTTTCGAACCGTGCTCGCTCGCTGAAGGTTGAGGGCTATCCCTGGGTTGCTTTCACCAAAAAAGCATTTCAGGGTGAATTCAAAATATACCGAGTCGGCCAGTACATGAACCTGAACGACTTTGCTGTGAAAATCAGCAGCCTGCGGGTGATTAAGGAGTCTCTGGAAAACCCACAAATTACTCTTTATAAAAACGTCAACTATACAGGCGCGAGAAAAGATATATTTGAGGAGATCGACAACGTGGATCAAATAAAAAAAGAAATCGGTGGTGAGATTTCATCGCACAAAATCAAAGAAGGCGTGTGGATTCTCTGCAAGGACGAGCACTTCTGTGGGGAGCGTATGTTCACCAAGGAAAATGTGCCCAACTATGTCCAAATCGGATGGAAGAACCAGCTCTCATCGCTGAAACCTCTCACCCCATCTGATTTTGAGTAGGTTTCAGATAGAAGAGGAAGGGAGGGGACTATCACTTCCGCCCCCATCCCCCTCTCCGGTCTATAACCTGCGCTCGCTTTGCTCAAACCTCCCGAGGGGACGTTTCACTGACATCAGGGACAAATTTGTTCCTTTTTCAACGTTGTTGCAGAAGAAAAGTTACAAAGTGTTATTGATATAAAAAAAGTGATGGAATATTATCAAACCAGCTTGTTGTTGTGATGTCGCGTCTAATTAGTGTCTGTCATGAATGGCTTTACTGCGGCAGGGAGTGGGTGGCGGGAGCTTTTGCTTGTCTCTGCCATTGGAAAGTCAGAGATCTGATCAATAAAGTGATGCAAGTCTATTCTCTGTGTCTGTCGTTTCTTCAGATCTTGATAGCATCATCGAACCGTGAAATTGTACAGCACAGAAAGAGGCCATTCGGCCCATCGTGTCTATGCTTGGTCTTTGGAAACCGCTAACACACTTCAGTCAATCCATGACTGTTCATGAGACACTGCTGTTTGCAATTGGCAGCCGCATTTCTCTCACAAAATACAGTTACGGCACATCACAGTATAATATTCGAAGCGCGTTGAGACGTCTCAAAGACTTGATAAGGCGCAGTATCAAATGCAGTGATTATTATTATTTTACCATCCCAATCCCCCGCTCTCTCCCCATAGCCCTTATCAACCCCACTACCTTCCGCGCGCTCTCCCCAGAGAACTCAGCAAACCCACAAACCCGTGCACTTCCCATAGCCCTCATCAACCTCACTCCCCACACTATCGCCATAGACCTGATCAACTCCACTCTCCCGCGCTCTCCCTAAAGCCCTGATGAAATCCATGCCCCCATCTCTCTCCGTAGCCTGATCAACCCAACGCCCCCACTGGCTCCTCATTGCCATAATCAATCCCAATCCCCCGCTCTTTCTCCATAACCCTGATCAACCCCATCCACCTGCGCTCTCCCCAAAGCCCTGCACACTTGTCCTCCTCAATTAATTATCCACTTCTCGCTTAAAATTATCGAATCGTTTTCTACCACATTTTCAGGCAATGCATTCCAGATCCCGACAACTCGCTGTGTGCAAATATGTCTACTCACATCCACTCTGCTTTATTCAACAACAATTTTCAATCGGTGTTCTCGGGTTATCGACCCACACGCCCGAGAGTCGAAGTAATTTCTCCTTGTTTGCCCACCCTATGCTGTAGCTCAATGGTTAGAGCGCTCGCCTGGCAAGCGAGATTACCCGGGATTGATTCCCGCGCTGGTAAGTTCAGAGAGAACATTTGGCAAGTTTCCTTAACTCACGCACACACACACACACAAATAAACACACACACACATACACAAACACACACACACAGAGATACACGCACGACTCTGTTTAGCTTGAGGTAAGTTGCAGAAACTTGTTAGCTGAACTGAGGATCTCCTTTACCGGGGCTAATAATCCCTTCCAAAAAGAAACGAATCAATACTAATACTTTGGTTTGTGGGACGTCGCTGTCTGCCTTGTTTCAACCACAAAACACACAGTCACTACACTTTGCGATATATCCTGAAATATTCTTTGAGATGTCTGAAACACTTGATGAGGGGGTGTATCCAATGAAGTGATTATTGATATTCTACCCTTCCCGCCCTCAAACCGTCCTGATCCCAGCCTCCAGCTCCGGTCCAAATTGTTGAATGTCCTTCGCCTTAGTACATCTCCTTGACGTGAAAAGCCATTGAGTTTTGTTAGCTGAACTGAGGATCTCCTTTACCGGGGCTAATAATCCCTTCCAAAAAGAAACGAATCAATACTAATACTTTGGTTTGTGGGACGTCGCTGTCTGCCTTGTTTCAACCACAAAGCACAGTCACTACACTTTGCGATATATCCTGAAATATTCTTTAAGATGTCTGAAACACTTGATGAGGGGCTGTATCCAATGAAGTGATTATTGTTATTCTACCCTTCCCGCCCTCAAACCGTCCTAATCCCAGCCTCCAGCTCCGGTCCAAATTGTTGAATGTCCATCGCCTTAGTACATCTCCTTGACGTGAAAAGCCATTGAGTTTTGCATTGCACTCTCTCGGTCTTATCCGACTCTGAGTTGCCCATCCCACAAAGGTGCAGAGACCCAGAGACACAGAGACCAATAGACACAGACACACACACACACACACTCACACATGGACACACAGACAAACAGGCACACAGACACATAGACACACAGAGATACAGAGACACAGAGGCACGACCACATGGACACAAGGACACACGGAAACACAAAGATACAGACAGGCAGAGACACAGAGACACAGACACACAGACACACAAAGAAACAGAGACACGGATACATATAGTACAGTGTGGGTTAATATAATAATAATAATAATAGTAATAATAATGGTAATCTTGCATTTGATTTTGTGCCTCGATACATCCTGAATGTGGCAGGTGAGGTAGGAGCATGAAGCAAACCAGAGCTCACTAAGCGAAGGGAGCGGGCAGGTTGGTAGGGGTTAAGGGAATCACAGAGGTAGGGGGCAGTGAGGCCATGGAGGATTCCGAAGGTGAGGACCATGATCTTTAAGCGTATGCTCTGTGTGTCGAGGAACCAGTGGAGTCGTGCCAGGATGAAGGTAATGGCGTCATGGAGCCGTGGTTACCGATTCACTCGCAGTGAGAATAATTTCTCCTTGTTCACCGTTTCGAAACAACTCATTATTTTGAAAGCGTCTATGAAGTCTCCTCTTAATCTTCTCTGCTTCAAGGAGAATAATCCTAGCTTCTCCAGTCTCTCCTGATAACTGAAGTCCCGCATTCCTGGTACATACCGGTAAATCTGCTTTGCACGCTCTCCAGTGCCTTGACATCCTTCTAACGTGTGGGGCACAGAACTGAGTGCAATCGCTAACTGAGGCCTAAGCAATATTTTATCAAGATTCATCATAACTTCCTTGTTATTGCATTCTGTGCCCTATTCATAAACACTGGAATCGCGTAGGTTTTTTTTAAACAACATATTCTTCCTGTTCTGCCGCCTTCAACGATTTACTTCTATGAAACCTCATGTCCCTCTGTGCCTTCACTGCCTTTAAGATTCTACTATTTGGGTTTTGCAGCCTTCCCTCATTCTTCCTTGCAAATTGCAAAGTTCGCATTACTCCATATTAAACTTCATCTGCCACCTGTCTGCCCACTTTACCAATCTGCTATGTCCGTTTGAGGTCTGCTACTGTCCTCCTCACTGTTTACTGTTTATGTTAGGTTAGTATGAGCTAGTAAAACTTGGAAAATGCACACCCTATACCAAATCTAGGTCATTTATACAGATCAAAAATAGCAGAGAACCGAATGCTGACCCCTGGGGCACACAACTGCACACTACCCTCTAGTCGAAAAAAGAAGTGTTCACCGCAATTTCTGTCCCACAGTCAGTTCTACGTCAATGTTACCACTATTCCTTTGATATCATAGACTTGTATTTTGCTGATAGGTCTCTTATGTGGTAATTTATCTAACGCCCACTCAAAATCCATATAAACTACATCAACTCCATTATCCTCTCCGTTACTGCAACGAAAATCTCTGAGCAGGTTTGTTAGACATGATTTGCTTTTAAAAAATCCGCATTGGCTGTCCTCGATTAAACTATATTTGTCAAGTGAACGTTTATTTTGTCCAGGATTATAGTCTCTAGAAACTTACCCAATACTGACGTTAGGCAGACTGGCCTGTAGTTCCCCGGTATATCCTTCTGCCCCTTCTTGTACAGGGAAATAACTTTTGCCACCCTCTAGTCCTTTGGCGCCACCCTGTGTCCATGGAGGATTGAAAGATTGTGGCCAGAGTCTCCGTTATTTCCACACTTATTTCCTTCAGTAACCCTTGGATACATCGCGTCCGGTCCGGGTGACTTATTTACTTTACTACGACAACCATTTTAGTACGTGCTCTCAGTTTATTGTTATCTTATCCAATTTAACTACCCTCTCCTCCGATACTGTGGCGTTGTCTGCATCCTCTTCTATTGTGAAGGCAGATGCAAGTACTCATTTACTGCGTCACCGATACCCTCTGCCTCCACAAAAAGATTGCCTCTTTGCTACCTATTGGGATCCACCGTAACTTTGCCTAACCAATTACTTTTTATATGCTTAGGTGTCCTTTTTACGTTACCTAATAATCTTTTCCCATACAATTTCCTTGACCCTCTTAATTCCGTTTTCATTTTATCTCTCTCTCCTTGTAGCATCTCAGCCCCTTTTTTTCCTTGTGTCACGGATTCCAACATGGACCACGACTTCTTGAAGCTCCCCTTTCCTCTCAAGATCGCATTACACACATTCCATGATGTCTTAAACCCTGACACCATGGAGAAACATACCATATGTGAGTGATATTTTTGGTTGCAGAACTGCCTCTCTGAGGCAAAATCCTGGTGGCTTTCCTCTCATAATTAGTTTAAAGCCCACGCCGTAGTGCTAGCTAACCTCCATGTGAGGACATTGGTCCTATCCTTGTTCAGGTGTAAATCATTCACCTTGTGCAGGTCCCAGAACGTAACTTTGTCACAGAACGGAACCCAATGATCCAGGAACCTGAAGCTCTGCTTGCTGCACCATTTCTCCATGGATTCATGTGTGTGATCCTACTGTTTTTATACTCATTCGCATGAGGTATTGCGCATAATCCACAGATCACCACTGTTGAGGTCCTTCTTTTTAACGTATTCCCTTGATTCTGATTCTCTCCCCGTAGGATCTCAGCACTTTTTTTCCCTTCGGCAAAAATCCCAAAATGGACCCCTACTTCTGGATGTTCCTCTTCCCCCTGTAGAACTTTTGCAACCGTTCCCTGATGTCTTCAACACTGGCACCAGGGAAGCAACATATCATGCGAGAATCATGCCTTTGGTTGCAGAGTGTCTGACTGGTATTCAGTACAGAGAACCGTTTGTGAATGCCACACTCTCAGTGGTTTTCTGCACTGCCCGTCTCCTCTTCCAACCATACCGAGTGGTCGCACACTCACTCTCCTTGTGTACCCTCTATGGCTGTGGGGTGACCAAATCCTGAAATTTTCGATCTATCAGCCTCCCGTATGCTATTTAGTGACACCAGCCTCTCCTCGGGCTCAGAAACACTGAGCTGAAGCTCGCGCAGCCGGAGGGCTAATATCAATAATCATTGCATTTCATATAGCGCTTTCCACGTCTTCTCGACGTCTCAAATCCCTTCCTGCACACTTGGTTGTCCAGGGCACACTAAACATCCTGGTATTCCCACATGCAGGTTTTGCATGCAACCTGTGCCAGTTGCCCTGCCATATTCGAAGACACGTCATATATTATTT